ACTCACTTACACGTCGTCGTTTCGAATCTGATGATCGAAAAACGCGAAGTGAAAATGTGTCTCGGTGTCGTCGTTCCGTAGCATCGGGTGGGCGTTGGGTGTATTTAAGCTCCCGCGGCATGACGTCTCAATCCGGGTTACGGGTAGTGGAATTTCCGCTTACGTAAGTTCCGGTAACATGTAATATCGTAGTCAAAATGTTAATGCACAGGCTTTTGTTCCGGGTGAAGGATATTCCTTTTCATAGAATTCCGGGGATGGGAATATTTACTCTATATATATATATCTATATATATATCATTTATTTATTTATTTATTGCAAATCAATAATGTCCATGATTTCATTGTATAACACAGTAGCACATGTATAGAAGTGCAATTAGCATTTTTAATTTTATGGTCTATGTTGTTAATATATATTATGAAAAACAAGAGGTCTAGGACTGACACCGATGGCACCCACTGCAGTACAATGAGTGGAGGAGAGGTCAAACCACCCTTCTTCACACACTGAGTCAGATCTGATAAATAATTTGAAAACCAGTTGACTTCACGCACAGAAAGGCCGATTGACAAAACTTTGTTTTAGTCCTGAATGATCAACCGCATCAAAGGCCTTTGGCAAATCTATGTGCAATGCGGCACAGTGCTATTTGTCATCCAAGACCCAACAAATGTCATTCAGCATTTTGGTGGTACTATAACAATTCCTGAATCCAGATTGAAAATGAATAAAAATGTAATTTTGGGTCAAAAAAATCCTTGAGCAGTTGGCGAACATGACATTCCAATTTCTTTGCTAACACAGATGACTAGTGATGGGTCCAGCGACACCGATGCATTGACGCATGCGTCGGCCTCACAGAGCAATCCACGTGTCGGTGCGTGTGCTGCTTCATGAGATCACGTGATCAACACGTGAACTGCATCGGCGCAGACTGGACCTCGTTGACACAGTCCAGGCTGCGTGACACAGTCCAGGCGGAGTCGACTCAGTCCAGGGGGCGTCGACGCAGCAAAAGCCCGCCACACAGTGTTTATAAGGAAGTGCGTCTGGCGACACAATGCCGCCTGCCGAAACAAGCAGGACCTCACCCTCGTTTGAATAAAAATCTATATTTGGGCAAAACGGAAAACACACAGATTATCAGAAAAACGTGTCCGTCTGACTTCGAGCATCGTGTCGGCTGTCATGTAGGCTATTATTATATGAGAATTGCTTTATGAACGTTTGTACTGTACGTCATACTCCAGTTGATTGAGAGGTCCCGCCTATAAGGGGGAGTTCCAGGAAGTGACTGCGAGTGAGCACATCGCATGTTTGATGACTCTGCCACACTGTTATTAAAAGTCACATAAAACGTAAACCTTTTCTGCTGACCATCATTACATCGGCTAGGCTAGCTTCGCTGTTGTCGTAGTTCAAATCTTCTTTAAAATGTGGCGTGGGTTGCGTCGGCGCCGTGAGTATGTGCTCGCGCTCACGCGCGCACAGCAGAGCAGCGGACCATCGACTGCTGAGACACGCTTCACTCGAGTGGCGTTGCTACAGTACGTGCATATTATGGAGCAGCTTCCGGACAAACGCAAATTGTCCGCCACGTACAGCCATTTTGATCTCCTTTTGGAGAATAAGGTATTTATTAAAATCTCCTTGTCTCACCAAGTGCCTCTTGGATTTTTGACATGTCTTATTCCATTGTGTGTGTGTTCTTCACAGCAGGGGAAATAGCATGCAAGAAACGCAACAGACTGAAATTTAAAACACTGGAGCATCTTATTTTTCTAAATAAAAATTTGTGAAGACAAAGCCCACAAGCATCCTCATTCACATGGTTTTCACATTATTGAAACACATTGAATGATACAATATGAATGCATGGATGTGAATGATATTGTCAAGGGTCAAGATCATCTTTATTGTCAAATATGCTTTATGTATGACATGCAGCATAGATGAAATTTCTTCCTCTCAATCCTCACTGCAAATATGCATGCAAATATGCTGTGCATTAAACACACACAGCAAAGAAAGGATAGCAGCTACACTGTATAAAAAGACATAAAATGTAATCTGAACAGTATAGACAATATAAACAGCATAAACAACAACATAAATAATGGCACTTGTGGCTATTGTGGGTAAAGTGAGGTACTGCATTTTATACACTTCATCATCAAATCAGTCAGTTCAGTCTGTCAAGTGGGTTGGCTACAGGGATTTTATACTGCACTTCCTGTTAGTGCGCTTATTTTGAAACCTATTTGCATCACTTCCGATGCACTACTTTGTAGCCTGACGCTAACTATAGGACGGCAACTGGAATTGAAGGAGGCTTTCCCGTCATGCCTTGCTGCCGTTACAAGTAACTCTTGTTATTCTCTTCCGCTTCTTTCATGTGTCATTTTGTACACACACGGTGTGATATAATTGCAGCGCTGTTGTTTCCAGTCAGTTATTCAATTATTGGACCTCAGTAACAAGGCAGACAGTGCGATATATAATGTAAGGAAAGCGTTCGAAATAAATTTGTACTCATGAGGGGTTGGTTTTAAGTGATGTCGACTCGTTATATCTGTTGATTTCAAATCAAATGCGTTGACTTTAAATACAAAGATATCGCACATGCATTGGTGGAAATGGATGTGGAAAGAGGAAAATCACATGCTGGACGGGACACTGTGACCTGGAGTTTAAATCTGACCTTTCTGTCTGTCATGATTCTGTTTGTGACCAACAGGTGGCACTGTAGGGCTCCCCCTGCAGCTGCACACCTGTTGGTCATTATGTAATTAGTTGTATAAAAGGACTCCCGCCCGACCACTCATTGTCGGGTCATTGTTTGTTTGTTTGTTTGCTGTATCTGTCATGTTTGTCAGTCATGTTCTCGATCATGTTTTGTTGACTGTTAGTTTTAGCTACAGCCTGGGTTTTTGTTTGATACTTTGGATTCTTTTTGTTTTTAGGACTTTGTTTGTTTTGGATTTAGTTTTCTGTGTTTTATCAATACACTTCTTCAAGTACAACCTGCTCCTCCCTCGTGTCTGCTTTTTGGGGTCCACCACCACCTCGCAACGTGACATCTCCTGTATACTGCAAACCCATTTTGCGCATGCCATTGTCATCCATGGATCCCAGCGAGTCTATTTCCTTTTCCAAGATGTCAAGCATGTGAGCGCTTTGACCGCCCTGATCTTAAAGAATTGGCTGGCAGTCGGCTGTGCTCCATCCCACAACCGTGCAAACGCCCCCTGACACCCAATTCTACTTATGCAAAGTCTGGAAGAATACCATTAGAAAAAAAAAATCGATCCATGTGCACAATTAGACTGCACTTTGCGATACACTTGAAAATAGGGTCATCTCAGATGACCAGCTGCAGGGGGAGCCCTACAGTGCCATCTGTTGGTCCCAAACCGAAACATGACAAGTGAACTGCAAGAGCTCCCCTTGCGGATGATGCAGTCGGCTGTGCATGTGATGTGGACAATTAGAGAGCGCATTGCACCCATGAATGTGCAACTGTGTGAGACCTCCTGACCCCCAGTAGTTGTGTCTTGCAGTCAAGGGGGTGCTATTATATTTTTAAGATGATAATGATCAATGAATCGCTCAATGAATTTATTTCGACAATGATTCAGCGGGATTGTCCCACGCCGTTGTCATATACAACCACGACATACGTCTGCAGAATGCCTGCACCTTGATGCACCAAATACACCAAAATCCTGCTTCACCACCTTATTCTTCATATTATTTCTGCCTCATTTTTCAAAATAATGAAGCTGAAGTACAAAATACTTGAAATTGCCATAAATGCTTCACGGCTGAAACCAATATGCAGAGTCAAATTTACTTCCATAAACACTGCACCACTGTTTTGTGCGAATGTGCTACACGATGATGAGTTTTGTGTGCATGCATGTCACTTACTGGTAAACAGTTCACATTAGAAGTCACATTTGTTTCTATAATAGAACAACTGCAGGATTTAACAAAAACACAAAAAAAGTCTGAATTGGAAATTATGCCCTGCAGCGTGAATGACCATGGAGTGGCTGTTTCTCAGACGACAGAGTACTAATGCTATGGACCACCAAGGTGTTAGAATCAGAATCAGATTTATTGGCCAAGTCTTTAAAACACAAGAAATTAGCCTTCCCAGTTCCAACCCGTCCATAAACAAAAACCTAAACAAAAACAATGACCAACAGAGGAAGACAGAACAGGAAGCCTGGCGGTTCGCTGTTAAGCACCCCAAGACCTTAGATGCAAAAGGAAAAATGATAGGCGAGGGGAGGGGGAAAAAAGACAGGCTCTAGCTATTCTCCACATTAGCTTGAGCCTGAGAAAAAGCCCCAGCATGTGCGTCAATTTAAAAGACCACATATCTGTACCACATATCTCAAGACTTGACATGGAGTGAATGGGAAGGATGGAAGGGGGAGTGGTCGACGTGACAAAACCAGTCTGACTAGTTGCACAGTCCATTTGAGCACTCCTCAGCGCAGGTTTCATCACTGAGGAAAAATAAGAATCCAAGGAAGGAACGTATGTGCGCGTGATTATTATGAATGTGTCTGTGTGTGAAGTCCGCAGCGGTATAGCGAAGCTTATGGTCTCTGTGGAGACGTCCTCGGCATACCTGTCTCAGACCCAAGAAGGAGGGGTAAGGGACAAGTAGGAATGCTTGTGTGAAAGTGTACTTTTCATCCAGGGGAAAGTCCAGATAACAAATGTTTTGGGAGCAGGCCGGCAACAATTTCAGCCAGCCTTGAAAGTATTTTAGCCTGTGACTTTCAATGCTGTATATGAGCTGAATCCTTGATCAATTTTCTAAGACCAGACACCAACTGCTCCTCGTTCTTTTCCATTTTGTGAAGAAGCACTAAAACCGCATCCACTTTGTGATTAATTCGGTCAATGCATGCGTCTGAGTGTTGCTCACCCGCCTTACACGATCCAGAAAGACTGGCAGCTTGTTCCCTTCCAATGAAGCTGTCCTCGTCGGCAGAATTTTGTGATAGGTCAGGAAAGTGCCACCTCCAAACAGCAGCATAACTGTTATCAGAAGACCAATGTCCCATGAGGGTAAGAAGGCTCCTCACTGCCTGCTCTTTTTGTCAAAAACCTTTTTGTACAGCAGGAGGCTAGAATAATTTGAGACAGAGTACAGCACTTAGACCAAGTCAGCAAGCAGGGACATAAAGGACGAGGGGAGCAGGAATGAAGCAAAACGCATCCACCTTCGTCCAGAGCCAAGCAGAACTCGACTGTGTACCATGTGAGATATTGTGGAGGATGCTCTGGAAGTATGGGGTATCAGATGCCCAAGGACAGGCTGTGCGATCCCTGTCTGACCGGTGACAGAGTTATGTCCGCATTGCCGGCAGAAAGTTGGATTCATTTCCATGAGGGTTGAACTCCGCTAAAGCTGTTATTTGTCACTGAGTATGTTCATAACTTTGATAAACAGAATTTTTAGGAACTGCTGAGGTGTTTAGGGTGTGCAGTTAGGCCGTCTCAGTCTTACTTCTTTGCTTTTTGCGGATGTGGGACTGTTGGCTTTTTCAAGCCGCGATCTTCAACTCTCACTGGAGAAATCTGAGACCATGGACCTCAGTCAGAAAAGGGTGAAGTGCCTTTTCTGTGTCGGGGACTAGATCCTGCCCCAAGTGGAAGAGTTCAATCATCTTGGGGTCTTGTTGATGACTGAAGGGAGGATGGAATGTGAGATTGACAGGCAAATTGTCCAGAAGCTGAAGCTCTTGATTTACAGGTCAATCCATTATCCTGCTCTTACCGCTTTTGGTCACAACCCATAGCTCATGACCGAAAGAATAAAATCCCGGATCCAAGCAGAGGCAATGAGTTTCCTCCGTTGGGTGTCCGGGCTCTCCCGTAGGGATTCAAATAAAAAGCTTTGTCATCTGGGAGAGGTTCAGAGCCGCATTGGGAGGAGCTAGATGAAGTGAGTCGGGCACAATGTTTGGTTGCTACCTGGATGCCTGCCTGGTGATGTGTTCTTGGCACGTCCCACTGGGAGGAGGCCCAGAGGACGACCCAGGACACGCTGGAGCAATGATGTCACCGGGCTGGCTTGGGTAGGCCACGGGATCCCCCAGGAGGAGCTGAACGAAGTGGCTAGGCAGAGAAAAGTCTGGGCTTCCCTGTGAAGTGGCTGCCCCTAATGAAATCGACTTCGGAAAAGCAGAAGACAATGAATGAATGAATGGGTAAACGATGCATCGACTATTATAGTGTTGGTGATTTTGATAATCTCCGTAGTCGTGACTAGTTGTCGTGTTTTGCATGATGGTAGGTGGAGGACCCCAAAAAGCAGAGAGGCAGCGAGTAGCAGGGTGGACTGAGCAAGATGTATTAAACAAAAATACAAACAAGAGTGCACTGGAAAAAAACTAACTGAAGTACTTGAACAAAGTCCTGAAAATCACAAAAAAACAAAGTAGAAACAAATCTCCACCTCCTGAAACGCCGCATGCTGGACCACAATTTCCTCGAAGCCATCCAGAAGTCGTTTTCTATTGTTTCACCAAACTCCTCCCATGCCCATGCTACGTCTTGCTTGGCCTGCTAATACCCATCAGCAGCCTCCAGAGTCCCACAGGCCAAAAAGAATTGACAGTATTGGCTCTTCAGCTTGACAGAATCTCTTACCATTGTGTTCCACCTGTGTTCTGGCAATGTTGCCACGAAAGGCACCGGCCATGCAGCTTATGTCCACAGCTCCAGTCAGCTGCCTCGACAAACGGTCCACTTGGACTCAATGTCCCCCGCTGCCCCCAGGTATTGGGGAAGATTCTGCCAGAGGTTTAAACTCCGTCTGACAGGGGTTTCTGCTAGACGTTCCCAGTAGACCCTCACACTAAGTTTAGGTCTGCCAGTTTGGACCAGCATCTCCCACCAGCGGCGCCGACACACCACCAGATGGTAATTGGTTGACTGCTTCGCCCCTCTCATCACCCGGTTTTCCAAGGCATTTGTCCACTAATTTAATGACATGAACAAAAACTTGATCAAACTGCAGCCAAGGGTGTTTATGGTATCAAATGTAACTATGAACAGCCTTATGTTTGAAGGTGCAGCTCATTATGTACAATCCATTCACACATTTAAAGGTCTCACTGGCATTGCCCATGTGAGCATTTCAGTCCCCCAGAAAAATTATCAAAGAGAGAATGAAAAGCACTCTTCAGCACCCTGTCCCAGGACTTCAAAATGTGTGGGTACTCGGAACTGCTGTTTGGCACATAAGCACAAACAACCCTCAGAACCTGCTCCCCTACTTGAAAATAGAAGGAGGCTACCGTCTCATCCATCAGTGTGGATTCCACTGTACAGGCATTGAGCAAGGGGGCATTAGGTATGCCTACACTTGCTCAGTACCTCTTCCCGTGGGTAACTTCAGAGTGGAAGAGAGCCCAACCCATTTAAAAGAACTGGTTCCAGAGCCCAAGATGCATGTGTCGAGATGAGCCTTACTATGTCTAGTTGGAACTTCTTGACTTTGTGCACCAGCACAGGCTCCTTTCCTGCTAGAGAAGGGGACATTCCATGTCCCCAGAGCCAGGTTCTGGAGCTGAGGATCGGACCACCAAGGTCCCTGCCTTCGGCCACCCCACGGCTCATATTGCACTCAACCACTATAGCCCTTCTCACATGTGGTGAGCCCATGAGAAGCGTAACCCTCGTTGTTCTTTCGGGCCGCATGGTTGCAGGCCTGACCACCAGGCATTCGCTTTTGATCCCCATCTCCAGGCCTGGCTCCAAAGGGATGCCCCAGTGTCCCATGTCCGAGTGAGGGACAATGGTGTCCAGTTCTTTTACTCATCTAAGCTGTGCTTTTTCTGTTCCCTCACCGAGGACCCATTTGCCTTTGGTGACCCTATAAGGGGCATAAAGCCATAGACCTTACCTTCTCAGTTCGCTGGGACACACAAACCCCTCCACCACAATAAAATGACAGCACAGGGAGGCGATTAGAAGGTTGAACAAAAAATTGTCATTTACATTAAAAATTTCAATAAATCAAAGAAAATGTGATTTACATGGTGATTTACATGGTAATTTGGAGCACTATGTATGTAAGAATTGCACTACCTTTCCCTGTAGAATCTTCAATGCTTCAAATTTGCCTTCTAGGTAACGATGTGCCACCTCCAGCTCACATATTAATACATCGATTACCTGTCAAACACAAGTGAACTGTCAGTCTAAAAGGCATATAGTTGTTAGTTATTCTGCCTTCTTACCTCAATAGACTCCAGTAGTTTGTCTCGTAACTCTTCTTTGGGCATGTCAGCAAAGGAGCCAGCTGGAGAGTCGAAAGATGTAATCTTGCATCAAAAGTTATACAGTAATCCCTCGCTTATCACGGTTAATGGGGACCAGAACCCCCCGCGAAAGTGGAAAATCCGCGATGTAGGTACCCCCATGGATGGATGTACAGGTACAGTAATCCCTCGCTAATGGCTGTTAATGGGGACTGGGACCACCCGTGATAGACGAAAATCCGCTAAGTCGGGTTTGCCCCCCCTCCAGCCCCCTAGGAATTTTTGTGAAAGGGTTTGTGAGTACCAGCATGTTAAAAATATGGAAACAGTATTTATACTTTACATATTTGAGACAAAGACTATAGCAGTACACATATTTACTTAAATCTTTACGAATAAAACCTTACCCAGTAATTAATGGCAATAAACAGCTATGCCCTACCAGTGATCAGATATCCTGTAGGAATAATAAGGTGGCCAAAGGAAGAAATTCAGCCCAGGGACGTTAAGACCTCATTGTCTTTATGCAGCTGTGACAGTGTAGCCTCCACATCGGCTGGCCAGCTATCCTGCGGTGCGCAGCCAATGTGTTTATGATTAGACAACTAAGGAGGTGAAGAGACACTGCCGCTTTTTTCGTACAAGCCCAATCACCCCCCCCATCTTCCTCTCCATCTTCCTACACACACACACACACACACACACACACACACACACACACACACACACACACACACACACACACACACGCGTAGTAAATACAACACCGATCTCGGCAACCACTTGATTGAACGGTGTTTGTTTTTCTTTTCTTCTTTCTTCCCATTATCTTGCTGCTGTGGACTGTAAATTTCCCCAGTGTGGGACAAATAAAGGATATCTTAAATCTTAAATTACACAGAGAGTAACCCACGTGATAAGACAGCAGGGAGGGTGCTGGGTGGGGCTGAGAAGATGCGCTGCCAATCAACAAGGCTGCACATCATGCCATTGATCCACTCGTGCTGTCATTTGTCGATGTTGGCACTGGGAACCAATCAAGTTACAGCCATGCACAAAACCTCTGAGTCATTCGGCATTATTTTCTGAATACAGTACTTTGGAAAAAAAAACAAAAAACGTGATGCACTGAGGCCGCGATAATCAAAGCGCGAAATGGTAAGGGATCACTGTATATGTACATGTGTATGAGTATATATATTTATAAGGCCAAATTTAATGGTATACATGCATATAGAAGTAAATGTTTGTAGTAATTAACCATGTACTGCAGTCGATGTAAATAAGTTTATATAACGCAACATACAATTTTACAAAAATTGTAAAAGTATTATTCTTGAATATTTATTTTACTTTCAACCACTCGACATGTTCAGTGGCATCAGTGCTATACATACACATATAGTTCTTATTTTTTTCTTTGTATTTTTGCCCTCTATGGACAATAAAAGCGGTATTGTGCTATGACCAAAACATAAATATAAATCTATATAAATAAAACATGAATTGGAATATTTCATATCACACATTTTTTTTTGGGATGCGACCCAAGCTGAATGGGGGATGGAAACCACCCGAGGGGTGAAACGAGGATTATTTATATATATATATATATATATATAAAAGATATGTGAGTTAGGTTAGGCTAGTGTATAAATAAAATACAGTAAACATAAACATGAAATATACATGTAGTCCTGTATATGTTGCTCTTTGTGACTCGCTGTTGTTTTGCTGACTTTCGCTGCCTCTCGTGGACCTTTTGCGGCACTTTTGCTTTTTTTTTTTTTTTTTTATGAATATTTTTGAAAAATCCGCGATGCACTGAATCCGCAACAAGTGAATCGCGAAGTAGCAAGGATCACTGTATTGTGAGTTAGGGTATTCTACATTTTCCCACACATACATGGGCATTCCATTTGTATACATACCCATTTTGATGATAATTGACAAATTTTGGAAAATTTAATGGAAAAAAAATGCTGATAAAAATGATGAATAAAAAAAATGCGGGATTAAGCACTGACAGAAGTGGGGTTTTGTCCGAAAGTGTAAGCATCACTCACTGGACCAATGTCAGTCACTACAGTTGGATGCTACATCTATAAGTACTACTCAAAACTACTCTGCAAAGCAAAAGCCATTCATCTTCAACACGCTGAGAAGGTCAAAATGTCATATTGCAGAGGCCTTTTATTTTGAAATGGAACATCAGAGCTGAATGCCAGTACCCTAGTTGGATACCTGGGGTGCCCTAGTGCAGGGGTGGCCAACCAGTAAGGGACAAAGAGCCTTTTTTTTTTTTTTTACTGTGTTACTGCACAAGAGCCACATACACATGGGCATCCCATCCTCGCACGCACACACACACACACACACACACACACACACATACATATGCACGCACGCGGGTGCCCAACCATGCGCTCGCGCACATATGCACTCACGACACGATGAGCAACAGCCATAACGACCTAAACATGAACGAAAGCTAAAGACACAAACACACAAATCTTTTTTTCCCTCCTATTTCCTCCTGTCACCCCTTGCAGTCGACTTGAGACCAGCCAGCTGGCTCCAGGCCGATTGTGATTGACGTGTTGGGCACCCCTGCCTTGACATCAGAGGTAATTCGCTGACTAGCTTAGCGCTTAGCGCCATTGTTTGCGCATGAGTGGTGATTTAGTCATCTGATTGTTTGCCCTCGATGTCAATCAAGTAACGGGATTGATGATAGGCTGACATAGTATGTTCTGTGTATTTGGCGCCGTTGTTTGAATGGCATTGCCACCGCCGAGGCGTTTGCAACGCTTGTCGTGTGAAAGTCCAGGAGCCGCATTGAGCCAGCCAAAGAGACGCATGCGGCTCCGCGAGCCGCAGGTTGGCCACCCCTGCCCTACTGTGTCAAAAACCAGGTGTGGTTGTGGGACAACTAAGATTCATTCATTCATTTCCCAAACCGCTTTATCCTCACTAGGGTCGCGGGGGGTGCTGCAGCCTATCCCAGCTGTCTTCAGGCAGTAGGCGTAGGCAGGCAGTAACCTGAATTGGTTGCCAGCCAATCGCAGGGCACACAGAGACGAACAACCATCCACGCCCACACTCACGCCTAGGGACAATTTGGAGTGTTCAATCAGCCTGCCATGCATGTTTTTGGAATGTGAGAGGAAACCGGAGGAGCCGGAGAAAACCCATGCAACCATGGGGAGAACATGCAAACTCCACACAGGAAGGCCGGAGCTGGAATTGAACCCAGTACCTCTGCACTGTGAAGTCAACGTGCTAACCACTCGACTATCGGGCCGCCACCCAGTATTCAAATATTTGTAATTAAAATGTGAATAACCATTACTTTATTGACAGCCCTCTATTTTTTTATGTTATGTTTGTGTAATGGAATAAGCTTTAGTTGGACCATGCAAAGTTTGACTGTCTTTCCATCTATGTCTGTCTTTTATTCAGTTCGAACATGTCATGTTGAAGACTTAAAAACTGCAGTCAAAACTATTCTTGAATTACCATTACCTATGAGTGGCATCTTCCAGGTGGACATTTTCTCCCAACCTTCAGTCATTAATCTGGGCATACAGGCTGCTTCCCTTGCATGGCTTCGTCTGTACACATCTCCATCAGGTGATATAGGCCCTCGAGGTTCGGTGGAGCTTTGGCTCTTTTTCCTGGTTGAGAGGGATGTTGTCCTGACTGTCATTCCATCACCCAGGTCTCCAGTCACCAGGTCATCGTCCAGGCTGATGGCCTGATGGAGGTGTGGCATCAGCATCAGGCCAAACTCTAAATTACATGGAAAACAGTATGAAGCTCAAATCTCATGTTGTAATCAATTAGAATTAAACTCTGGTTCATTTCAAGATGTAGACCAGGGGTGGCCAAACTTTTTGGACCGAAGATCTACTTTTCGTTCAACCAACCTCCCGGGATCGCCCCTTCCCGCGCACACGCACACGCACATGCGCACACACACACACACACACACACACACACACACACACACGCGCGCACACACGCACACACACACGCATGCGCGCCATGATGAGAAGCCAAACACGGAAGCAAGCAATGCACTTTTGCAGCCTCTTGACTATTGTAGCTCACACGTACTGTTTTAAAGTGCTTCCCTCAGCCCTCTAGATTCCTATTCTTTGCCCGTGCCCTCGGTGAACTGTACACGAAGCAAACTGAATGAGAATAATGACGATCAAAGATATAGTACAACAGCTCTGATCACAAGCTGCAATTGCAGCGCTAACAACTTCCGCTAACGTAGTCACGCCCCACCGTTGGCCACCGTTGGTTAAAGATTTACCTGCTTTATTTTATTTTATTTTTAAAATCTTTCTTTGGGAAAATGAGACTGATAGGATGATTAGGGTGCAGTGTGCATTAACACAAAAAATATATTACTAAAATGTACAAAGACACACAAATTTTTTTTGTTGTTTGTTTTCTCCTCTACACCTTTCGGATCTAATTGGGACGAGTCCTAGATCTACCGGTAGATCAGGATCGATGTAATGGGCACTCCTGATGTAGACAAACTATTGAGTTACCACTTTTAAACAGTGTCATAGTTTATAAATAAAACGATTATCAAAAATAGTCTTTGATTCGTTTATTTATTTAGTGTCACATTCCTGATGTGCCGTATTTTCCGGACTATAAATCGCTCCTGAGCATAAGACGCACCAGCCATAAAATGCATCATAAAGAACAAAAAAAGATACATTAGTCACACTGGAGTATAAGTCGCATTTATGTGATAAAATTCAATCCCAAGAACAGACATGTAGAACAGACATGTCATCTTGAAAGGCAATTAAAAAAAAAAAAATAGAAAACAACACGCTGAATAAGTGTACAATATGCTTACGTTACATGACGCATAAATGACGAACTGAGAACGTGCCTGGTATGTTCAAGTAACATATTAAGAGTTATTCAGATAACTATAGCATAAAGAACATGCTAACAAGTTCACCAAGCCATCAAGTCACTCCAAATCACTAAATCTAATGGAATCTTCATCCTCTTGTGTCACTTTGAAGCAACTCCACCAACTCTGGAGGTAGAAGATGCAGCGCTTCCTATTCTACGTCGCTTACATCAGACTCATCGTAGTTTTATCAACACAGGTCTAGAGCGGCCTCTTGAGGTTTAATGTGAAAATAACGTGAAATGATATAATAATGTGTTAATAATTTCACCCATAAATCGCTGCAGAGTATAAGTCGCACCCCCAGCCAAACTACAAAAAAACTCGACTTATAGTATACACACATCGACAAAATTGTTGGTACCCCCTGTAACCCACAGTGGTCACAGAAATTACTTTAATCTGACACAAGTAACAACATACAATGAAAATAAACCAGTGAAAATCAGACATTGCTTTTGAATTGTGATTAATACAATACAATACTATACATCCTGATTTTAAACAAAATTATTTTTACAAAACTAATGAAACAGGCCTGTCGAAAAATGATGTGGATGTGATGAACTTTATATTTTGTTGCACAGCCTTTTGAGACAATAACTCCAATCAATGTTTGTAATGTTGAGTGATTTTTGTCCCTCTGCGGGTATTTTGACTCACTCTTCATGAGCAACATGCTCCAATTTTCTCAAGTTTGAAGGGGGCTTTCTCCAGTGACATGTTCCAGGTCCTTCCATAGATGTTCAATAGGATTTATATCAGGGCTCACCACTTCAGAAGAGTCGAATGATGTTTTGCTCTTAGCCATTAATTGTTTTGTCCTTGATAGTCTTGCGATTTCATTGTACCATGAACGGATTCAAGAGACCCTGTGCCAGATGAAGCACAGCAGCCCCAGAACATAACAGAACCTCCTCCATATTTGACAGTAGGGGCAATGTTCTTTGGTTGGGATGCTTCTTTTTTTGTATTTGTGCACAGTAAGATGGTTGCCTTCGCAAAAAGTAATTCTTCTGTCTCATCTATCCATAGGTCATTCTCCCAGAAACTTTGTGGCTTGTGTCAACATTCATCCTTGCAAATTCAAATCTCGCTTTTTTTCTGATTTATTTTCAACAGTGGTGTCCTTCTTGGTTGTCTCCCATGAAGTGCTTCTGGCACAAACTGTTATGGATCTGTTTGTGACCAACAGGTGGCACTGTAGGGCTCCGCCTGCAGCTGCAGAGCTGTTGGTCATTGTGTCATTAGTTGTCACTTTAAAAGACTTGCTGTCCGACCACTCGGTGTCCGATCATTGTTGTTGTCACTGCTTCTGTTGGTTTGTGTTTATCACATCATAATTTTTTGCTCATGCCATGGGTTTTGTTGTTACTTTGAATTCTTGTTGTTTTCAGGGCTTTGCTTGTTTTGCATTTGGTTTTATCAGTGTTTGATTAATACATTTTGTCAAGTTCACCATGCTCCTCCCTCCCGCCTGCTTTTTGGGGTCCTCCACCACCACCGACCATGACACAAGCAATGATGGGTGGTGCAATCTGACAATGATGTGACTTGATCTTGGAGATCGCCTTCAATTTCTGTGGAAGTTCTTATGGGCCCTTTATGACCATTCTTACGACAGTCGAACCTCGTTACAACGTACCTCGAGGGACATAATGAAAGTCTGCATTATAACGGTAGTGCGGTGTAACCATTTCCAATTAAATGTGTGCCAATTACTTTGTATAATACAGTTTGAACATTTATAGATGTGAAAACATGAACATGTAAGTATAAACATGTCAATTATGTTGATAGAGTTTGAAGAAAAAAATGCTTTTATAAGATATAAAACAACTGTCGTGTTCCTAATTCATTTCTGAAAACATTCAGTCAACAAATGAAAAGTGCCTTCTCCAGTTTAGAATGTTTCGCGCCCCGAAGCCGTTAAGATCATCTTTTAATCTGTTGGCCTCGAACTTTGCCATCATTTTTCTACTATTACGAATGATTATCGAAATTGCTGATTTTTAGTAGTCTTGGCTGAGCTGCATCTGTAAGACTCCTTTTCGAAAGTGAGAGACAATTTCTGCATTCACTGACAGTGAAATTTGCTTCCATTTAAACAGATGTTTTTAGACGATGTGCTCAGGACCGCGCTGTGTGTTCGGAACTACAACAATGTACGAGTTGATCAGTAACATTGTAAGCAACAGGTGAATCCTGCGCTGTATATAAGCAAGGTCGCGGCGGAAGTTAGCTTCCCACAGTTTGGAGGAACGAATGAATTTTCACTATTTTGTGGGAAAAATCTGGTTGTTTTAATGAAGTTTATGTTGTAAAGGTGTTGGTTGTGAGGAAAATCAACAAATGGAAGATGAATTAGGTGAAATTGGGACTTTGAAATGTGAACATTGCAGGGGTGATAATATAAACGGGGTACGTTGAAAAGAGGTTGAATTGTATCCATCTTTTCGTGTGTCAATTTTCCTGTTTGTTTGTCTGTTAAAAATCCTTATAACATACCAAAGCATTTTATATGTCAAAATAACGATTTTCGGATTTTTAATGATCTTTATTGTTCATCATTAGTTACTGGAAATTAAAGCATTCGAGTAGACTCGAGTAGAATCCTAAACCGTATGAGTTGACAGGTATGGGTTTGTAAAGACGGGGTGGTCTTTAAACCTGTTTTTAATTGGAACCCTCTCAGGACAGGTGTTGCAGATTTGTAACTACCGAATACCTAGACTACACCTGGTTCGAGAACTTAATTTGAGCCTGAGAGGGATCTATTGAGAAGGGACTCTTTCAAGCGTTGAATGAGTGGTTGTGCGCCGGCTAAAGACGTGGTCTTTAAAGCCGTTTAAAGCCCTGAGCCATACTAGTCCCTATCAGGCATATAGACAGTCGAGTCTTTAAAACTGTTGAGGGCGACGGTGTCCTGCACGTGCTTAAACTCCGTGTGTAAATGTGTATATAGAACGTTACCTAGGTTGAATGTAATCGAATAAAACTCGCTAAATGAGTGACTGTGTAACTGTGTGAGTGGAGGTTTGCTACCTCATTAGAACAGGACATTTGTTGTGGCAACTGTCTGAGGAAGCAGATGCAAGAATTTCCCGCCACTTTGGTGGTAGAAGGTTGGAAATTACCTCAGTCGGAGAAATTGTCACCCTGTTCAAGGGAAAAGTCAGCATAGTTACCCTTTGTAAACCGCTGACTCTCAAATTTGCAAAATG